ACGCGCTCGATGCCAAAGCAGAGGTACGCCATGAGCTCGTCGAGCAGCTGCTCGTGCGTCATCGCCCCAGAGTTCTTTGCGTTGGACCAGTGCGGTGTTGGAAGACCCACCTTGGGGCTGTCGCCACACTCATGACTCGTACAGTCGGTGAAATGTAGAGTGATATTTATAGCTTTAGCTATCTTGTAGTAAGTGCAATATGCAACTTCCAACACGCGCCTTCAAGTTGTACTTGGTACGAGATTGCTAGTTGGGTGCCTTGATGTTGATCATGTCGAGCGCGCGGTTGAGGCACTCGGCAGAGAGCGGCTTGGTCATCGCATCGGCCAGCATTTCGCCGATTGGGCAGTAGCCAGTGGTGACTGTACCTTCCTTGACAACGTTGTGGATGAAGTGGACGATACTTGGTCTTCCATCGTCTTGAGTGCGCTTTGGTTGTTGATCCACAAGTTGACTGGCTCCTTGGCCTTGACCATCTTGATCTCGTTGAGTAGCTGCTTGATCCGGAGGGCTTCTTGCGTGCCGGTGCACGCGCCGATGTACTCGGCTTCCATTGTCGAGAGAGCGACTGTAGATTGTTGCTTGGACGACCGGTGGATTGGGATACCGTTGAACTTGGTGACCATGCCCGTCGTAGAGCGTCGGTTCGACTTGTCTCCGGTCCTGTCGGCGTCTGTGTAGACGTCCATCGATCGTGAGCCGTCGGGTTTGAGCTCGAGTCGGTAGTGCTTCGTCTTCCACAGGTAGTGCAGGATGCGGAGAATCGTGGTCTCGTGGTTGATCTTGTGGCTGCTCGTGTGGCGGGTTGCACCGTCGTCGAACATCTTGTGGTTGATCGGGATGGGCGTGTCCTTGGTGTGGCGTTTGGCCATGTTCTTTGACTGGTACTTGATCGTGTTGTAGATCTTGAGTAGCTTGCAGACCTTGACAGTAGTGTCCTTGAGCTGTACTGGTAGTGTATGGATCTCCCGCCCCCCCCTCAATCGAGTTGGGGTTCGGCGAGTGGACGCTTGCGATCATAAATTCGACGTCGAGTCGTTGCTGGGAGCCATACACGGCGGTGTTGACCGAGTCGGAGCTCTTGGTCAAGTTAATCTTTTTCGACTTGTAGACGAGGTGTGCCTTGCTATGATCCATCGTGACTGGAGCCGTCGTGCGTGAGGGCGGCTGTTTGCTGTGGGTTCGTGGGCCCGTGGGGAACTCTGTATGCTCGGTCGAGACGTGGTGTGAGTGGTTCGCACTGTTCGTTGGTGGTGGCTCGGGATCGGGATCGATGCAGGTGCGTGAGTATGACGTGGGTGGCAGCACACGCGACGGCTTGCCTGGCGGCTTGTTCGGTAGGACGGTCAAGTTTACGTGCTTCGTTGCCGTGGACTCGTCCTTGCCTTGGACTAGTTTTTGCCGATGCCGTATTTTCTCGGCGTTTGGCGTTTCTTGCGCAGTCGCGGCTTCTTGTGTTGGACATATGTCGACTTCGGCGGCTTGGACATGTGCTGGTGCGTCTCGCTCTGTGCTGGCTTGAGCGGTGGTCTCTTCTGCGCGTTCGCGCTCAGTGTTTGTGTTTTCGGCGATGGCAGTTGCTTCTTGATCGTGGCACGAGCCTTCAAGGTAGTTGTACGCTTCCTGTCGCGCGTGTTTGTGCTGAGTTTGTGCGACAGCATCGACAGTGGGCTCTTGGGCTCGTCGCGCATCAGTGGCGACTTGATTTTTGCGCGCGCGTTCGAAGCTCTCGTTTTCTTCATCTCGAAGACGCTGGTCATCAGCTTGCTGCTGGGGTAGTTGTTCAGCGCGACGGCGTTGTTCTTCGTCGTGATGGCGCCGGTTGTCAGCTAGCTGCTGGCGTAGTCGCTCGTCTCTGCGTCGCTCTTCGCGCATCCTCTCGAAGATACGACTTAGGTCGTCGGCTCGTTGCTGGAGAAGGATTTCTTCACGGCGGCGTCGCTCTTCGTCTTGGCGGTGTTGCCCTTCATCTCGGCGTTGCTCGTCAGGCGCCTGCTGCTCATCTCGACGGCGCTGCTCTTCATTTCGGCGTGGCTCGTCAAGCGCCTGCTGCTTGCGCATCCACTCGTCGTGGCGGCGTTGTTCCTCGGCGTCTTCGTCGAGACGGGCTTGCTGTCTTGCAAGAAATTCGTCGTGACGGGCTTGTTGCTTTGCGAGAGCTTCTTCGACGATCTTGGATGTTGACGTCGGTGTTGGTGGTTTCGGCGGGGTTGGTGCCGCCGCTGGCTCGACATTGATCTTGATCGAGTCCATGTCGTTCTCCGACCGATGCAAAGTTGATCGCTTTCTCGCGTCGGGTACTCGCGTGCTCTTGTCGACTTCAAGGCTCGCGGCTCTCGTCCGGGCGGCACGATCCTTCTGGCGCTGCCTGCTCCGTGACGGTCTTTCTTCGGCCTTGTGGCGCTGTTGTTGCGTCCACAGCTCCGATCTTCCTGGATCTTGCGACGTTCGTCTAGCAGTGTTGTCCTGGAGTGGTTTTGGAGAGTTTGATCTTGATCGGTTGGCTCTGCGCAACGCGACCTTTTGGGCGCCCTTGATCTTGGAACTGCTCCCTTCGTGGCTACGGTTTGCAGGGCCGTCGCCGCGGGTTCTGACGTCGCTGCTCTGTCGCTCGCTTGGTGTTGCAGCCGGCGCTGGCGTCGAGTTGTAGGGCTCATGTGCTCGGTTGCGATTCCGGCACGGTCGAGTGTGGTCGATCGTAGCCCCAGATGAAGCCCTTGGGCTCATAACCTGTTGGAAGACCCACCTTGGGGCTGTCGCCACACTCATGACTCGTACAGTCGGTGAAATGTAGAGTGATATTTATAGCTTTTAGCTATCTTGTAGTAAGTGCAATATGCAACTTCCAACATGCTCTACCAAACACCGCAGTCGTGGCCACGTGTGTCAAGCGCTGGACGCGTCTGGTACATCAGATCACATTCTCTGCTCTCGATCTAATGTATTGAACTAGCGATCGTGCTTGGTGGCGAGACGCGCCATCGTGCTGGCCGCCAAAGCCCCGCTGC